CAAATATTTAAGTATCCTCTAGTTAGATATAAGTTTTAAATCTTACAAAAATGTAACGTTTGTTCGAGATTCGGAAAACAAGAACTTGTTTCGAGATAAAGATGGCGGAGACTACAGTGCGTGTGACTGGCGGCCATGTTAAGACAAGTTTTTCAGTTCCATAGGTATTGTGAATAATCTTTATTTTTCTTACATACGTGTTACCTATATGGAGAGCTTCACTCTCATGGGCCCGAAGGGCCCGTGAGAGAGCTCCGCCCTCTATTAAAAATGATATCAATCTGTAGGAATCACAATTATGTATCATTTACATTTAACTAGTAGACTTTAAACATGACCTTCTTGTTATCCTTAGGCTCAAGACCTTTAACATCAAAACAGTATGTTCTCATATATGTCAGTTTTTGCCTAACTAAAATGCTGGATTTCATATTTTTTAACTAATCTTAGCATTTACAGTAGAATCTGTAAAGAATGCCTCCAGGACAAGGAACATTCATTGAGATACATTACTGATAGTGTTTGGTGGTAATCGACCAAACCAAGATCTGTAAGATGGGTGAATAATTCTGAACAGCTTACACATGATATTTGATATGTCTGTAATCATATTCAGAATTGTAGGACTGTTTATCATAAGTAGGCGTTTGGGTTCCAGGGTTATTGGTCAGTGGTTAAGTCTTATTTCTCCCACAACCACTATAGGTTACCTCACTCCCCACCCATACGATAAACCTACTAGGAGTTGGTGAACATTTTTGGTTATACCCACTAGTTATACCCACTAGTGGGTAACACCCTGGGCATGATTTCATTGGTCAATATTTCAAAAAATGTATGGCGTCACGTAACAATGCTTTGCGACGTCATCTATCACTGTGACGTCATGATTCACGGTAATCGTTTCCCCCATCGGAGGCCGACATAGTATATTTTCAAAGGAAAGATATGGCTTTCCATATAAAATATGAACCTTATGGGAGAAAAAGTACCTCAAACTCGTGATGGTAGGTTATCATGTTTATCTAACTCTCATTAGTTAATTTTCAAATTGTAAAAGACACTCGGTAAACCTTGTGTCTTTATGCAATTTGAAAATTAACTAACTTGAGTTTGATAAACATGATAAACAACTATCACTCATTGGGGAACCTCTATGTTGATATAATGAGGCAAGATCCAAGATATCTGACAGATACATTTATCGTTGCAATAATACATTTTGTTTATTGTGACATGTCAAATTGTTTTGGCAATATATTTCACTTAAGCAGGAAATAATAAAAATAAAATGGAAAAATGAAACTAACAATAAATATGTGATTTATCTAAAATGAGTTTCAAGATACCAAAACTTTTTGTTCTGCGTAACTCCTTCACTTCAAGTGTAATGTATGAATCTAATCTCTGAAGTTTCTTTTCAGATGAAGGGTTAGTGTAATATCCAGCTTATTGAAAAAGCTCACTGAAAAAAAAATCCAAGGGAAAAAATACAAAGATGTATGACCGAGCACCTAGAGATTTGGTTGCCCTTTATGGATCCACACCTCACAATGTGGGGCCTGGCTCTTACGATGCTGCATTTACTGGCAAGGGCAGGATAAAAGCTGGTAAATTTTACTGATTAGTTTTGGTAGTATGATGATTATGATTAAATGTATTTACAATGCTATGAAACTCAGAACACACATTGTGTGAGTATACCTATAACAGTTGCTGAATTCCTCATTCAAAATCTCTTGGTTATTTATTTATTTAATACAAGTCTTGATCTTGAATAAAATCATCTCTGGATGGTAACTTCAATTTTTATCATAAGACCAAATCTTTGTATTACAAAATCAGATAACATGAATTTCTTGTTGAACTTTGATGTATCTAAGGTTTTAATTTACTTAAACATCTTGTCATTTGCAGATGGCTATGCCCCATTCTTGTCTATGACCAGTCGGGATGGTTTCTTCAATATCCGAGACCAGGTGGTTGCAGCCCCTGGACCAGGTCACTATGACCCATCTCTTGCTCAGGATATGATCAAGGCAAGTGTTTTTAGACTGAGTGACTTTGAGCTCAATTTATTGCTAAGGACTTGATCAAGGTAACAGTCCCTTGACTAGGTCACTGTGATGTGTGGCCCAATCAAGGGAGTGTCACACATCTCTAGCTTAGGACTTGATCTAAGTAAGTGTCTCTGCAAGTCTTGATAAAAGTCAATATCCAAGGACAGGGTCACTGTGATCTTTCTGTTGCTCAGGAATTTATCAAGGAAGAAATTCCTTAAACCGGGTCACTGCAACCTCATCATTGCTCAGGAACTCATCTATGTAATTGTCACTAGACTCAATTAAACCTATCTATTACTCAACACTTGACCAGGAAACAAAATTTCCTCTGACAGAGTCACTATGACCTATCTATTGCTCAGGACTTGATAAGGTAAGTGTGCCTTGACTGAGTCACTCACCTGTCTATTGCTAAGAACTTGATCAAGGTAAATGTGCCTTGACTGAGTCACTCACCTGTCTATTGCTAAGAACTTGATCAAGGTAAGTGTGCCTTGACTGAGTCACTCACCTGTCTATTGCTAAGAACTTGATCAAGGTAAATGTGCCTTGACTGAGTCACTCACCTGTCTATTGCTAAGAACTTGATCAAGGTAAGTGTGCCTTGACTGAGTCACTCACCTGTCTATTGCTAAGAACTTGATCAAGGTAAATGTGCCTTGACTGAGTCACTCACCTGTCTATTGCTAAGAACTTGATCAAGGTAAGTGTGCCTTGACTGAGTCACTCACCTGTCTATTGCTAAGAACTTGATCAAGGTAAGTGTGCCTTGACTGAGTCACTCACCTGTCTATTGTTAAGAACTTGATGATATACTTAACTTGATTATCATGACCTCTTTTCCTTACTAGTAGATGATCAATTATATACTTTAATACCAGGTTCATCTAGCATGTCAAAGTTATTTGTTTTGTTTGTAAATAACTAGATCTAATAATTCATATAAGTAAATTGATGTTTGTTACAGGGTGGTAAAACATTAGCCAACAAATCTAAGAGGTTCGCCGATTCTGTCACAGACAATCCTGGCCCAGGAACATACAGTGTTGACAAGTACACAGAGTTTAGGACATCAAAGTCTGCTCCAGTGCAGGGAAGTAAGGACAAGTCTGGCGCAGTAAGTGTTAAGGTTGATCCAATGAATGGCATGACTGGTTCACTTAGGATAAGGAAAGTTCAGTAAATGTAATTACTTGTTCATTATGGACAAGTCTAGTTCATTCAGTGATAAGACTGGTTCGGTTTATGTCGAGATTGGTTCTTTAGTGTCCTTCATCTATTTTAACTCTTTATCTTTCTAGAGTATCAATTAAAAATCATTCAAAATTGATTGATTATGTGTCTGACAGAGTAAGTGCACTGGTGTATTGAGCTTATTGATTATGTGTCTGACAGAGAAAGTGCACTGGTTTATTGAGCTTATTGATGATGTGTTCGACAGAGAAAGTGCACTGGTGTATTGAGCTTATTGATTATGTGTCTGACATAGAAGGTGCACTGGTGTATTGAGCTTATTGACTATGTGTCCGACAGAGAAAGTGCACTGGTGTATTGAGCTTATTGATGATGTGTCTGACAAAGAAGGTGCACTGGTGTATTGAGCTTATTGACTATGTGTCTGACAGAGAAAGTGCACTGGTGTATTGAGCTTATTGATGATGTGTCTGACAAAGAAGGTGCACTGGTGTATTGAGCTTATTGACTATGTGTCTGACAGAGAAAGTGCACTGGTGTATTGAGCTTATTGATGATGTGTCTGACAAAGAAGGTGCACTGGTGTATTGAGCTTATTGACTATGTGTCTGACAGAGAAAGTGCACTGGTGTATTGAGCTTATTGATTATGTGTCTGACAGAGAAAGTGCACTGGTGTATTGAGCTTATTGATTATGTGTCCGACAGAGAAAGTGAACTGGTGTATTGAGCTTATTGACTATGTGTCTGACAGAGAAAGTGCACTGGTGTATTGAGCTTATTGATTATGTGTCTGACAGAGAAAGTGCACTGGTGTATTGCGCTTATCATATATATTGTTGATCTATTTGATGAAAATTAATTTCTATTGCTTTCAGCTTTTATCCAGCAGAATTAAGTTCCACAGGAAGCCCGAAGCACCCTCTATACCTATGTCAGGTCAGGCATACGGGTATGAAGAGTGTGACGATGGGACATTGAAGAAACAGGCACCTCCTGACCGTGATGTTAGTTTGGGTCCCGCATTCTACAAGCCCAGCAGTGTAAGGAGATTTGTTTTTAACACTGAAGAGAACTGATGCTGTAATTTCCCAGTCTTTGATTATCTGCCAAAGATTCCATGTAAAATTTGTCATTTTGTTGTACATATGGATTTTGTGTAAACAGAAAAGAACGTGTTTGGAATAAATCAATCAGCAGTTTATTTTAAGTACTGGTTTCTCACATGATTCAAAGATCTTCTTTTGGTGAGCTTGTTTTGTAGTGTCTAATTTCTACCATTTTTGCTGTAAAATATTTCTTCTTTCCATAATTGTCACTTAGGTTAAGATCCAGCTGATATTTCCATGGACCATTATCTGAAAAATTAAATTCATGTATTTTCAGATTAATTTGACATTGAAGCTACAGACATTAATGCAAAGTTATTATTTTTTATTAAAAATTTAAACAAATGATTGTTTTGTTGTGAGGGCATCAGTGTCTTAACAAACTCATCTAGTTATATTTTCTGAGCCATAAATTACTGTTCAAGTTGAATATATTTTCTGTTGTGAGATTATTGAATTTCTTAGATTTATGCTGTTAAGTTTGAGGTTTAATTTTGTTTAACTTTTCGTGTTCAATATCTAGTTTTTTCATGCTCCTGAACTAGTGTTATCATTTTTCTAATCAGACCAGGGTTTGAGTTGCCTACCTTCAATACTGAAGAATGTTAAATCAGGTTTAGTTAGACTAAACTAGCTGTGAATGTTTGAACTTTTTCTGTTCCTATACAGTAAACATACCCTGGTGAGCAATGGGTTTTCCCTCTGGAAAACTGTCTACAGTATTCTGTCAAAGGAATGTGTAAAATAAGTTTTTTTTGGTTTATTTTTCATTCAGGAGGTCACAAAACCTACAAAGAATTACAAAGGCGTACATTTTGGAAAGTTGACCTCCAAGCGGTTGGATCTGAGTGTGGGTAAACATGGGCCTGGTCCAGGGGAATATGAGCCGTACCGGGAAATTGCGGCCAAGGTTGAAAATGTTAATGCAGAGGAACCACAACATGTCAAGTTTGAGGCAAGGATTCCACGGTACCATGAAGCTATAGTCAAGGATGAAGAAAAAAGGGTTGGTAGATCAGATATTTCTTTTGTAATTGAAATGTTCATGAACTAACCTTATGATGACTAGCAGATGTTAAGTGACAAATATTTCTGCTTCTTTATTCTTGGTTTTCAAAATGCCTTTCATTTTATTATATTACCTCCTTTCATTTTGATATTGAGATTTCATGTAGATATTGATTTATTTTTATTTAATGGCTGCTGTACATGTTTTGTTAAGTCATGTTTGTTTTGGATGTGCAGAGCAAACAAGTTATCCTGAATAGGTACTGAATTTGTCTTCGTCTTTTGAAATTAAAGTCATACCTATGATTTCTGAATAAAGTGGTCATCATCAATATTTTATCAAATCAATTACCAATCTAAAATCATTATACATGTAGAAATGTACTGAATTTAATAAATTCCAAGAGTTGCTTCCCTTATATTATTTTTTCAGTAAACATACAAGGAAAATTATTCTTATTACTTATCATCAGTGTTTCCTGTCTGTATGTTGATATTAATTGTATTTACAGGCTGTTCCAGGTCCTGGGAAGTACGATTCCAAAGGCTTGTTTGATGCAGAGCCTCCAAAATTGAATACAGAGGGCATAGAGGTGGAACACCCTCCCTTTATGTCCCAGTCCAAGGTACATTAGTTCATCAGTTTAAAAGCAGTTTTAGAGAAGCAATGCCTGTCAACGGCTGTATTTGTCTCTACTGTTTACACATTTAGTAATAATATTCCAGTAGTAGTGTTCTGGAATTCTGAGCTTTTATTCATCACCCAAGAGATAAATCCAACACAATTTACAAGTACATGTATTTTTGATTTTACAAGAAAAATATAAAATTTAAAAGAATCAAATTTTTCTAAAAATCTGTAGTTTGAGTAGATAAAGACCAGGATTTATGATAACAAAANTCTACCTCATCTCCACCTTCCTCACTGTAGGACAAGGGTTGGCTACAAAGCCTGCTTCATCACCACCTTCCTCACTGTAGGACAATTGGGTTGACTACAAAGCCTGCCTCATATCCACCTTCCTAACTGTATGAAGAGTGCTGGCTACAAATCAATCCTCATCTTAGTCTTCCTTACTATATAGAAAAAGGGTTGGCTATAAAGCCTGCCTTTTATCAAACTTCCTCACTGTAGAAAAAGGGTTGGTTACAAAGCCTGCCTCATCTCCACCTTCCTCAATGTAGGACAATTTGGTTGGCTACAAAGTCTACCTCATCTCCACCTTCCTCACTGTAGGACAAGGGTTGGCTACAAAGCCTGCTTCATCTCCACCTTCCTCACTGTATGACAATTGGGTTGGCTACAAAGCCTACCTCATGTCCAACTTCCTCACTGTAGGACAAGGGTTGATTACAAAGCCTGCCTCTTGTCCACCTCTTTTACATTATAAAGAGGGTTGGCCACAAAGCCTGCCTCATCTCCCCCTTCCTCAATGTAGGAAGTCTGTTGACTACCAATGCAAACCTGCCCTATAATCAGGCATGCACCTTCCTCTCTGTAGTAGGAGTGTTGGCTACAGTGCCCATCACCTACCGCATCATAGGAAAGTTTTTGTATAATCTTCATTTTTCTTACAATAGAAACAGTGTTTACTCGCTGTAATAACGCTGCAATGTGACTCCTCGCCAGCTTCTTCAACATAAGAAAGGTCATGGCTACAAAACATCCCTCATCTGTCTTCCTTGCAGTAGGAAAGTTGATGGCTACAAAACATGCCTCATCTCTTTCTTCCTTGCAGTAGGAAGGTTGATGGCTACAAAACATGCCTCATCTCTGTCTTCCTTGCAGTAGGAAGGTCGATGGCTACAAAACATGCCTCATCTCTGTCTTCCTTGCAGTATGAAGGTCGATGGTTACAAAACATCCATCATCTGTCTTCCTTGCAGTAGGAAGGTCGATGGCTACAAAACATGCCTCATCTCTGTCTGCCTTGCAGTAGGAAGGTTGATGGCTACAAAACATGTCTCATCTCTGTCTTCCTTGCAGTAGGAAGGTTGATGGCTACAAAACATGCCTCATCTCTGTCTTCCTTGCAGTAGGAAATGTGATGGCTACAAAATATCCATAATCTGTCTTCCTTGCAGTAGGAAGGGTGATGGCTACAAAACATCCATCATCTGTCCTCCTTGCAGTAGGAAGGGTGATGGCTACGAAACATCCATCATCTGTCTTCCTTGCAGTAGGAAGGGTGATTGTTATAAAATATCCCTCATCTGTCTTCCTTACAGTAGGAAGGGTGATGGCTACAAAACATCCATCATCTGTCCTCCTTGCAGTAGGAAGGTCGATGGCTACAAAACATGCCTCATCTCTGTCTTCCTTGCAGTAGGAAGGGGGATGGTTACAAAACATCCATCATCTGTCCACCTTGCAGTGGGAGGGGTGATGGTTACAAAACATCCATCATCTTTGTCTTCCTTGCAGTAGGAAGGGTGATTGTTAANCCTTCCCTCACTGTAGGACAAGGGTTGGCTACAAGTCTACCTCATCCCCACCTTCCTCACTGTAGGACAAGGGTTNTACAAAACATCCATAATCTGTCTTCCTTGCAGTAGGAAGGTCGATGGCTACAAAACATGCCTCATCTCTGTCTTCCTTGCAGTAGGAAGGGTGATGGCTACAACACATCCCTCATCTGTCTTCCTTGCAGTAGGAAGGGTGATGGTTACAAAATATCCCTCATCTGTCCTCCTTGCAGTAGGAAGGGTGATGGCTACAAAACATCCATCATCTGTCTTCCTTGCAGTAGGAAGGGTGATGGTTACAAAACATCCCTCATCTGTCCTCCTTGCAGTAGAAAGGGTGAAAGCTACAAAACATGCCTCATCTGTCTTCCTTGCAGTAGGAAGAGTGATGGTTACAAAACATCCCTCATCTGTCCTCCTTGCAGTAGAAAGGGTGATGGCTACAAAGCATTCCTCATCTGTCTTCCTTGCAGTATGAAGGGTGATGATTACAAAACATCCATCATCTTCGTCTTCCTTGCAGTAGAAAGGGTGATGTCTACAAAGCATCCCTCATCTGTCTTCCTTGCAGTAGAAAGGGTGATGGCTACAAATAATCCCTCATCTGTCTTCCTTGCAGTAGAAAGGGTGATTGCTACAAAACATCCCTCATCTGTCTTCCTTGCAGTATGAAGGGTGATGATTACAAAACATCCATCATCTTCGTCTTCCTTGCAGTAGAAAGGGTGATTGCTACAAAACATGCCTCATCTGTCTTCCTTGCAGTATGAAGGGTGATTGTTATAAAATATCCCTCATCTGTCTTCCTTGCAGTAGGAAGGGTGATAGCTACAACACATCCATCATCTTTGTCTTCCTTGCAGTAGAAAGGGTGATTGCTACAAAACATGCCTCATCTGTCTTCCTTGCAGTATGAAGGGTGATGGTTACAAAACATCCATCATCTTTGTCTTCCTTGCAGTAGGAGGGGGGATGGCTACAAAACATCCATCATCTGTCCTCCTTGCAGTTGAAAGGGTGATGGCTACAAAGCATTCCTCATCTGTCTTCCTTGCAGTAGAAAGGGTGATTGCTACAAAACATGCCTCATCTGTCTTCCTTGCAGTATGAAGGGTGATGGTTACAAAACATCCCTCATCTGTCTTCCTTGCAGTAGGAGGGGTGATGGCTACAAAACATCCCTCATCTGTCTTCCTTACAGTAGGAAGGGTGATGGCTACAAAACATCCATAATCTGTCTTCCTTGCAGGATGAAGGGTGATGGCTACAAAACATCCATCATCTCTGTCTTCCTTGCAGTAGGAAGGGTGATGGTTACAAAACATCCCTCATCTGTCTTCCTTGCAGTAGGAAGGGTGATGGTTACAAAACATCCCTCATCTGTCTTCCTTACAGTAGGAAGGGTGATGGCTACAAAACATCCCTCATCTGTCTTCCTTGCAGTAGGAAGGGTGATGGCTACAACACATCCATCATCTGTCTTCCTTGCAGTAGGAAGGGTGATGGCTACAACACATCCATCATCTTTGTCTTCCTTGCAGTAGGAAGGTCGATGGCTACAAAACATGCCTCATCTCTGTCTTCCTTGCAGTAGGAAGTGGGATGGTTACAAAACATCCCTCATCTGTCTTCCTTGCAGTAGGAAGGGTGATGGCTACAAAACATCCCTCATCTGTCTTCCTTGCAGTAGGAAGGGTGATGGCTACAACACATCCATCATCTGTCTTCCTTGCAGTAGGAAGGGTGATGGCTACAACACATCCATCATCTTTGTCTTCCTTGCAGTAGGAAGGTCGATGGCTACAAAACATGCCTCATCTCTGTCTTCCTTGCAGTAGGAAGTGGGATGGTTACAAAACATCCCTCATCTGTCTTCCTTGCAGTAGGAAGGGTGATGGTTACAAAACATCCCTCATCAGTCTTCCTTGCAGTGGGAGGGGTGGTGGCTACAAAACATTCCTCATCTCTATCTTCCTTGCAGTAGGAAAGGTGATGGCTACAACACATCCATCATCTTTGTCTTCCTTGCAGTAGAAAGGTCAATGACTACAAAACATCCCTCATCTCTGTCTTCCTTTTAAGTAGGAAGGTCAATGGCTACAAAACATGCCTCATCTGTCTTCCTTGCAGTAGGAAGGCGGCTGGTTACAAAACATCCATCATCTGTCCTCCTTGCAGTAGGAAGTGTAATGGCTACAAAACATCCATCATCTGTCCTCCTTGCAGTAGGAAGGGAGATGGCTACAACACATCCATCATCTTTGTCTCCCTTGCAGTAGGAAGGCGGCTGGTTACAAAACATCCATCATCTTTGTCTTCCTTGCAGTAGGAAGTGTAATGGCTACAAAACAAACCTGTCTACATTTTCATCTTTCATGTAGCAAAAAATCTCCATCTCCTTACTAAAAGAATAAATCTCCATTTGAGTATAGGATGAATTTTGGTTCAAAGCTTGCCTTATCACTATCTTTCTAACTGTCTCTTCAATGTCTTCATAATGTCGTGTTGAGTATACATGTATATAAATTCCCCTTTTTTTTCTTTGGTTATGGCCAAAGTTGGTTATGGACAAAGCCTTTTAAGGTCACCTGAGCTTTAGCTCAAGTGACCTATTGCTATCCGTCTTCGTCCGTTGTCTGTTGTCCGTTAACATTTTACATTTTCAACTTAAGCTGAAATACTGTCAAAGGGATTTCATTGATACTTCATGGGAATGTTACTGACAACTCCCTGACCAAGTGTTGTTATTTTTCGGGGCGATCAAAAATCCAATATGGCCACCACGGCCGCCATTTTGAAAACACATTTCGAACTTAAAGTCAAGTTCTACTGGGCCTATTTCACTGAAACTTGGTAGGAATGATCAACTCATGGTCCTGGCAAAATGGGTTTTTTTCAGGTCCATCAAAACCCTAAAATGGCAGCGATGGCGGCCGTATTTTTTTTTTTTTTATTTAAAACTTAAAATCAAGTTCTAATAGGACGAATTAACTGAAACTGGTCTAGGAATGATCAACTCATTGTCCTGAAAAACTTAACTTAAAGTTACACTTAACTATTTTTTACTCAAATTTTGGTAGGGATGATTGACATCATTTCTTCACTTGATATTTCAACAACAAAAATTAATACTGTAGGACTCAGGTGACCGTTAAGGCCCATGGGCCTCTTGTTTTTTCTTAAATTGTGAAAATTGTTCTTTTGTTGAATTCTGAAGATTATTCATAATCACAATTTCCTACATGACATCTGTGTGAAAAAGTGTTCTTTGCTAATCTTTGCCAGACTAGCTCAAAATAATAGTCGAATATGTCTAAAATACAATGGAGTGTGGTTTGCTTTGTCTCATTTTATATTTGAAAAAATATCTAAATGATAAAAATGTTTTAAGATATTGTGATAATTGAGGTCTAGTCATCAGCTCTGTCTTCACCAATGTTGGACAACCAAATTATCTGCCATAATTAAAGAAAACAGCAGACTGGTTTGATGGATTTGGTTCCCATCAAACTTATAATATGTTTGCTAATGACCAGATTAGCCTTGGTTAGATATTTACCTTAACATTGGAAAGGTGAAGTGAGCCATGATCATTGTTGATGGGTTTATATTCCAAAGGTTAAGGAGTCATCTTCTGAACAGTGGAAGGGACTTTGTGTCCGTCAGATAACCACCCGTGTCTGAGTAATGCTATTATATTTTAATCCAAGGGAATACCGATATACTATCTCTTGGATCTGGGATTCATCATCGATGAATTCAAAACAACACTAGAGGAATCAAAATTAGGATAATGAACATTATCAAAATGATTTAGGGATCATTAAAGACTTGTCGTCAGGTTTTCTGGCATAAGATTTGGCCTAGGAAGAATTATCAATCGGTAGCTAAAGAAGTGTATTAATTGTGTCTGCCCAATAACTCTGTGTTTCCTCATGTGATGATATGGCCACCCAGGGGGCTAACATTCTTTGGTCATCCTCCTCCAAAGACAATGGTTTTTGGCTAATGAATTGAATAATTTATCACTCAGTTTTTTTGGTCGTTGTAACAAACTGTTACACAAACGGTCTCATTTCGCAGGTTTTCACACTGTTTTTCCTTGGGGCCTATCAGTTCGTCATCGCCAGATGACAAGGAGAAGACAACTCTGTAATGTGTTGAACTGTTCTATGTGCATTAGGAATAATGATCTGTGTACTTCCACACCTCAGAGCTTTATTGTCCTGTTGTAGCCAGGGTTTATAGTCATTTCCATAATTCTGTCACATTCATCAGATAGAGATGAAATATGGATGCAATGCCATATAAAGAACAGTGAGTCACCCCCCAGGTCCCCCATCCTTACAGGTCTGTTACGTGGCAGGTTGCATGAGAGAGAAAATTCACACTGTCATTGACAAGATTCTGACATGTCTCTGCATACAGGGGCCCTCACAAATCTAAATATACATGGTATAAAAATCAAATTACGTTTTCACTTGCTTTGGGTTAATGCGAAATAAATATTACCATGAAATTGATTTCCATTGTTCCAAAGATCTATTATGATAGTGGTGTATTTGGCTGCTTCTTTAACGCTGGTTTTAAATTGGTTCCATATTCCCTACACGTTATAACACCTACTGATTCTGATACCATCAGTCTTTATGGCGCTTTAATTGAAAAGTTATAATTCAAGTCCGTTTCATCAAAGCACCTGATCTGTTGTGTGTAACTATCAGTCCTGGGCATTGTAATCAGATTTAGGAACTTTCTGCTCGGTAATTGCCTGAAAATTGATATATTGGTGAAAACAAACATGAGGATGTAAAATCAGTGTAGCCAGGAGTGAAGGATCAAAACAAACAATCTAGGGCGTGTCTAGTGACTTAATCATCATGACTTGGTCCTGATGACTTAATCCTTCTGTAACTTATCTACAATTGTTCTAGGCAGTTAATGAACCTTTGCTCAATTTTTTTTTTAATTAGATTTAGATGATCAAACATAGCAGATTGTATTTTTAATCTTTGACATTATTTGTGACCATACCATTATAAGACAAGACAGGTATAGTCTGAATGGTGAATAACTTCAGTAAGTGATCAGAATGTTGGTCATTTATTCCAATATAAGTTAAATGTAAAGTTTTGAGTTGTTAGCAAGTCTCTTCTGGTTTAAATTTGGATTTAAACATAGATAGTACTTTAGAGGACAAGCTATAACAATTTGGCCTACATCAGTACATGAATTTCAAAGCCAAACTTTCAAACGTTAAGGTGAGAATTTTGTTGCCGACCGTTTGGCCAGGTCTGTAGTGTACTTTAAGGTGAGGTGAAAGTGTGAGGTAATCACTTCACACTATTATTACATAATGCCGTGAGCAGTAAGCACCAACTGTACCAGTCATAGTTATTTTAAACAAAGCAGATTTCAATTTTTTGCCTGCAAGGTCGTATGAAATTAATTCCTGACTCTATATTTGAATGGCAAGCTGTGTTGGACATGACACAACTGGTAACATGCAACCAACTCATCATCTGTCTAACAGTACACTACACTCACTCTCTCCAGTCCTCTCAGAGACCGTGGGACTGTAAAATTGAAGACTTGTTCTCACTGGAACAAAATGTGATAGCAAGTGTATCTTTTCAATACAAAAGTTGATTTTTTGGTGTATTAATTGACCAAGAACATTTTGCTGGCATTCAAACGTGGCAGACGTTTAAACGTAAAACAATGAGTCATTAATAACTGTCCATGTGGAGAGGAACTTTCATTGCTTAAACATACATCAAATATTTTATAGAGGGTCAAAAATCTCTGTCAGGGGATAAATTAAATGCTTAGTCCGTCTCCAAGATGTAACAAATAATGTGTGGACACTCAGCGCACAGGTCATATTTTCACACATTTCTATAAAAACTTTTACAACCGTGTTATCAGTTTCCTAATTTGTGCTTAAGGAATGAGACTTTGCCTGAACCAGTCAGCATGCTTGAGAATGGTAACAACCCCCAGTAGAGTCATTATGTCTCCGTGATGGACAGCCATCTTAACACTTCTATGGATTAGAACAGGCTTGGTATCAGTCCGATCTAAATGGAAAATTTGGCCACACCAAAATCAGGATTTTTAGAAGTATATTTGTTAAGTGTTTCGATCACCGCCTTCATTGGCTTTATTGTAAGTAGGCTTTACTTTATGCAAATGTATCTAGTCTTGAAAGCTCTCCATGTTTGTAATCAGAGCATTGATCACTGCTATCATCTCAACCTATTACATCTCCAGTGGGAAATAGGCCTCCACAAAATCCTCTAACTATCTGATCCAACTGGAAAACTCACTCAAGTATTCCGCAGCAAATTGCTTGTTGATTTTGTAAACTACCTGTATAATGCTATGTTATTGGTTTTAATGGTAGACTGAAGTAGGCTGTAGTCCTGTTTATACACTGGAATACACTGCAGCGGTTCCCAGCAGTATCTAGTTAATTAATGCCTTACCTTGTTTCATTATCAAGAACAATTTGAAGTAATAGGAATGTGTCCTTAGCCACAGATGATATTAAATCACTTCAGGACACACCTGTTCAAGTAGTCGGAAGTAGGTTGCCACGTATTTTGAATTCTTTCTGACTATTAAATTAGAAACATTTAACTGCACCTGTCTGCAACCTTGTCTAAAGTGATTAATACAATGGAACTTCTGAAGTTACATTTTTTTTTACCAAAATGGGGTTTCCTTTTATAAAAAAAACAAGATTTCAATAACAAAAATGGGAATTTGTGTGTTTTTCAGACTGTCAGGCTTGATCTATAGTACACCATTCCTTGATGTGTATATGTTCTTCAGTTAGGTACAAGTTCCAACATTATCCCCACCCCTCCAACAACACATCTTTCCACTCTCTTTCCCTTTTCATTCCCCAACAGACATTAACACTTTCGTCTTTAACATAATCACTTTTCCCTCTCCCCTTAGACACCAACACTTTTTACTTTGACTTTAATTATTCACAAATGACTGTTGTCATTTTTCATTTTTATTTTCAATTTAATTTTATATTGTCAATTTAAAAAATAATAGTCCATTTTTGATACTTACCAAACTTTTGTCATTTATGCAGAACTTCAGTGAATGGTGCTTTGTTTGTAGGTCCGGGAGCATACAACATTACAGGTATGGGTTCAGACAGTATGAGGAAGGCTTATATTGAGAGCACACGTAAGGGAGTGTTTGGTACGACTTCTTCCAGAATCAAGACGATGACAAAGAAGGATGAAGTGGAGATCCCTGGCCCAGCCCACTACCAGGTCAAGGAAAAACCTTTCAAAAACAGATACCCTAACCTGTCTTCGACCTTCGCCTCTGTGACCTCTCGCCTCAACGAGGCCCCAAGTGTCGTCAAGGTATGCAATGATGTTTTTTCTTTCTCTTGTATGAGTTTAATACCTCTTCATCAGCCATCATTATTGATGGCTATCAAAGTTAGATTGATCCCCTCCAGACTGAACTGCTCACTGTTAGCAGTGTACCAATCGTAACTGTTGGAATCCTTTAATCTTGAAGTTCCTTCCAGATTCGGAACTAAGGATTAAAAGTTCTTTGTTTTTATAATTTGAATTTGAAGATTATATATATTCAGTCACCCTGGCTATTGACTTGCGATATTCCTGAGAAAATTTAAAACAGAAATGTCAGAAATGGTAATTTATGTTGTAAAATTTTGGTTGAAATTCATTCTTCAAAGCAAATAATTTTACTGGCCTATTTGTAATGCACCTGCAAAATGATTATTCATTCTTATCTCATTTATAAATGTCCAAGGCATGCTAAGCAAGTTCTCTTCTGTGTTTTAATTGAGTTAACGAAAGAATATTCTGGGTTGTTTTGCATTCACTACACCAGGTTATCAAAAGTGGTGAAATGGTGAAGCTATGTGTGGACACCTCTGAGATCTCAGTTCTGTGGGTAAACTGATCAATGAGTACTGCTATTATACAAAATTAAACTGCTCTGATACATGTCTCTTGCAAATAAATGATATTTTGTTTATTCAATCAAAGCACAGAAGTCAAGATAAAAGAAATAAGATTTGATGAGTGATCACAAATTGTTTATCTTCACTCTGTTGTAATGATTATTGTATTACTTCAATNAGACATCAGGGTTAGACATGTGTTACTACCTCTGTTATAATGTCAGACATCAGGGTTAGACATGTGTTACTACCTCTGTTAATAATGTCAGACAGCAGGGTTAGACATGGTTTACTACCTCTGTTATAATGTCAGACATCAGGGTTAGACATGTGTTACTACCTCTGTTATAATGTCAGACATCAGGATTAGACATGTTTACTTCCTCTGTTATACTGTCAGACATAATTACTGCATTACTACTTCAGTTATAATGTCAGACATCAGGGTTAGACATGTGTTACTTCCACAGTTATAATGTCAGACATCAGGGTTAGACATGGTTTACTACCTCTGTTATAATGTCAAACATCAGGGTTAGACATGTGTTACTACCTCCGTTATAATGTCAGACATCAGGGTTAGACATGTGTTACTACCTCAGTTATAATGTCAGGCATCAGGGTTAGACATGTGTTACTACCTCTGTTACAGTGTCAGACATCAGGGTTAGACATGTGTTACTACCTCCGTTATAATGTCAGACATCAGGGTTAGACATGTGTTACTATCTCTGTTATAGTGTCAGACATCAGGGTTAGACATGTGTTACTACCTCCGTTATAATGTCAGGCATCAGGGTTAGACATGTGTTACTACNTATCAAAGTTAGATTGATCCCCTCCAGACTGAACTGCTCACTGTTAGCAGTGTACCAATCGTAACTGTTGGAATCCTTTAATCTTGAAGTTCCTTCCAGATTCGGAACTAAGGATTAAAAGTTCTTTGTTTTTATAATTTGAATTTGAAGATTATATATATTCAGTCACCCTGGCTATTGACTTGCGATATTCCTGAGAAAATTTAAAACAGAAATGTCAGAAATGGTAATTTATGTTGTAAAATTTTGGTTGAAATTCATTCTTCAAAGCAAATAATTTTACTGGCCTATTTGTAATGCACCTGCAAAATGATTATTCATTCTTATCTCATTTATAAATGTCCAAGGCATGCTAAGCAAGTTCTCTTCTGTGTTTTAATTGAGTTAACGAAAGAATATTCTGGGTTGTTTTGCATTCACTACACCAGGTTATCAAAAGTGGTGAAATGGTGAAGCTATGTGTGGACACCTCTGAGATCTCAGTTCTGTGGGTAAACTGATCAATGAGTACTGCTATTATACAAAATTAAACTGCTCTGATACATGTCTCTTGCAAATAAATGATATTTTGTTTATTCAATCAAAGCACAGAAGTCAAGATAAAAGAAATAAGATTTGATGAGTGATCACAAATTGTTTATCTTCACTCTGTTGTAATGATTATTGTATTACTTCAATATGCTGGTCACCATCACAGGACTTTAAAGCTGCTGTCAGTCAGCTATGACATGACTGAGTACCAAGCTCTGTAATGGACCTATAGTACTATAAACACCACCAATCAGTCCATTACATTCATATCAGAAAGTCAAGTGATTGTTATGGGTTTTTCTTCTTTAACTTTACAGGAAATAGTAATAGATTGTGCTTTTTGTACATCAAATTTCAAGTGATTTGTTATTTCAAAGTGTAATATTTAACAGATGGGTCTAAGAAACTGCATAAAATTAGTCTTGCACAACCGCTTTGAATTTAAATGATTGCCCTGATTGTCAGAATGTTGGTTTCTAGCCATAACTCATCAGTATTATTGGTCGTTACCGCTGCCTTGTTGGCTGGCAGATGTTTATAATGACAGATCTTCACTGTATGACGAAACAAGCCAGACAAATATGTACCGTCAATACTGAAAGCTGAACATATATTGTCTATTAGTTCACCCATACACGACAAGACAATTTACATATGATCAATCATCATTATTGTATTGATTAATGAAGTCAAGCGAGTTAAAAGGAATTAAAACATGGAACTGCAGGCTAAAACTAACAAAGGTTTGTTTTAACTTAAGAAATAAAACACCAACTTTTCTGAATTATTATGAATCATTATTCAAATATGTAAATGTATGTGTAGATAATGATGTAATTGTGTTTCTATATTTGAACTACAGGTGTAAATGTGAAACGGTGCAGTGAAAGTAATATCTGACAACAGAAACCTACATTTCAATATGAATGATGTAGGGACTTATGTATATTTCATATTCATTATGAACATCACGACAATGTAATGGACAGTGAAACTTCACTGGAATGTTATACTNTCTGTTATAATGTCAGCCATCAGGGTAAGACATGTGTTACTACCTCTGTTATACTGTCAGACATCAGGGTTAGACCTCAGCTATACTGTCAGACATCAGGGTTAGACATGTGTTACTACCTCTGTTATAATGTCAGCCATCAGGGTAAGACATGTGTTACTACCTCAGTTATAATGTCAGACATCAGGGTTAGACATGTTTACTACCTCTGTTATAATGTCAGTCATCAGGGTTAGTTTAGCAAGTAGTAGAGATATCTGCAGAGGACATCAGAAAAGCATATTTCAATGAAAGTCCTAGAAAATGTTGACAATCAACCCACAATCTTGGTAAACTTTAAACAGTTTTTGAAATGAATGTTGTTGTTGGTTGATTTGATTATTTGTACAAGGTCATGAGAATTGGGGAATCGTCTACTAGTCTAAAACTAGAGTGTGAAAATATGGTTTATTATATTTCCCTGGAAAAGCATTGAAATATTGATGATTACAAGTAGCTACACTGTACAATATATAGTCGAGTATATAATGAGACCCAAAACTCAGGATGAATAAGGCTTGAAAACCAGTTTGTGTACGAAAGAATTCTCATTACTATGCCTTTAAGTCCATTCAGCACTAACATATTTCATAGATCCATCTTCTTTAACTGTTTCTTTATGCAGACACTTTACTATATATTGCCAAACCCCTTTATAATGCCAACATTTTGCCGGAGGGTGCAGTATTACAAGGTTTTACTGAACGCTGTTCAATACAGTTTGTCTGGTTAGAATATATATGACAGTTCTTGTCACTGATCACTTAGAATAATTAGAATAATTTTCCGACAGAGGTTTGACTCATAATGCATAAGATACATTTAGTTAGAGTGCTGTGTTATGAATGAGTGTGAAGATATTTAAGGGGAGTATAAGGATACTATTTACATTACACTAACGATCAACATGATGAATACAATGCCATCAGAACACACTTTTTTAATATAGCCTTTTTATCCTCTGGTTCTCGGATGAGTAGTACATTCCTTTGATCAGGGTCATTCGATTGTCATCAGTGGGTGGGGAGGTTAGCACTTCCCATTATACAAGTATTCATTAAATAGGCAAAAAAAAATGTGTACTTTAGTAAATAGCATAGATGATGCACTTTGATGTAGGTAGACCACTTCATCAGCCAAAGGCCATGTACCCTCATTACTGTTACAGACGGCTCAACATCTCCATTCTATATCTGAATTTAAATCTTCAATCATAGTGGAACAAAAAATAATTTTAAAAAATGACAAATTTTCAATGTAATGAGATAAAAGTGTAGTTGAAGCCTGATTATACACCATCAGATAGATGTTTGCTTGGCACGACCAATTCCGATATTATGCAAAATTATGGATATGATCCCATTCCATACACATTAGCTGTATTTAACAGTGGCACCGGGATTTCGTCCAAGTTTGGGCGCAGCCTAATCTAGCCATCCATCAAGCTTTGTCTAGGACAAAGAATATGATCATCACTGTTGCAAACTCTGTCGCAAAATTACAAAAAAATTATCAGCAAGAATACTTCTGTCTGCTTGATTTGTGAGTGTTGTTCCGTATCCAATTTTCTGTACGACTGCAGATCATGTCATCCGCCTAACAAGGGGTCAGCCCCGCGCAAGCCTGGCTGCACTGACTGCTTNGTTAGACCTCGCCTATAATGTCAGACATCAGGGTTAGACCTCGCCTATAATGTCAGACATCAGGGTTAGACCTCGCCTATAATGTCAGACATCAGGTTAGACATGTCTTGCTACCTCAGTTATAATGTCACATCAGGGTTAGACATGTGTTACGACCTAGGTTATAATGTCAGACATCAGGGTTAGACTTGCGTTACTACATCGGCTATAATGTCAGACATCAGGTTAGACATGTCTTACTACCTCAGTTATAATGTCAGACATCAGGGTTAGACATGTGTTACTACATCGGCTATAATGTCGGACATCAGGGTTAGACATGTGTTACTACCTCAGTTATAATGTCAGACATCAGGGTTAGACATGTGTTACGACCTTGGTT